GGGACAATAATCCGCAGGAGGGAGACGTCGCTTATTATGGAAATCTTACGGACATTATTGAGTTAGATTATTATGGAAAACAAAAGGTTGTGTTGTTTCGGTGTGACTGGGTTGATGTAAACAGATGTATAAGAAGAGATAAATTCGGGTTTACAATGGTGAATTTCTCTCGATTAATTCACACGGGTCAACGTTTGATGGATGAACCATATGTATTTTCTTCTCAAGTGAAACAAGTATTTTATTGTCACGATCCAATGGATGACGGTTGGTATGTTGTGCTTCGAAATACTCCCAGAGACTTGATAGACATCGGGGATGGAAGTAGAGACGACATTGAAACAAGATCAGAAAGTTTACCTCTACTACCACAAAACTTAGATGAAACTATCAGTAATACAACACAATTTCAATGGGTTCGGGAGGACGTTGATGAATATATTTATGACAACTGACATTATATAAGACTTTTGTACGATTTTATATCTTAATTAATTTATTTATAATGTTATAACCTTTAACATGTTGTCTTTCAATATATTCATTAATTAATTCATTTTTTTATTACTCATGTTTGTTTATTATAGATATCATGCCGAGGAGAAAAATAAATGATTTGCGGGTTGTTCGAGCTTCTGAAGACCATGAAGAAAGAAATAACGAGGAATCGAATGCACCTGAGTCTTCTGAAGTTTCGGAAACTGTTGAAGAAGACGTAGAAATTCAAAGTAATCTTCGAAACATTATTTACTACTTTGTTCATTTTCAAAATTGACATTTAATAATTTCTTATATAGTTGAAAATGTTGGAACACGCAAGACTCGAGGACGTACAACTTTGAAGGAATTATACCAACTTCCTCCTGGGCATCGTGTCAAAGTTTCAAGAAACGATGTCGGTCAACCTATTGGCCCAGAATCACGTCTTCTAGCAGATTACTTAGGCATAGTTGGACGTAATGCGAATCTGTTACCGATCAATTACGAGTCATGGCGTGAAATGCCTAATAGTAACAAAAATCAAGCGTTGGATTTATTAAGGTAATAATGTCATTATAATACATACTCTATAGAAATTCAATACTAATTTATACTTACGGTGCACACTTATTTGCTGTATAGGAGAAATTTTCTTTAGAGGTCTCTGATGATTATGTGAAGCAAACGTTAGGGAAGAGATGAAGGGATCACAAGAGCTCCTTAAAGAAGAAATACTTCAAGAATGATCTCAGCCTTGAAGAGAAGTTGCAAACAGTCCCACCAGGAATGCTCAGGTACCAATGGGAAGATGCAGTCAGATTTTGGAGTTCACAAAAAGGACAAATATGATGTATTTTTCAGAAATAATTGTAACAAATTGTAAATCATCATTAAAAGTGGTTGTTTGACATTGTAGGACCGAGAGCATATTGGTGTTGCTAGCAGGCAACAACAAAAGTTTACGCACACGGCTGGATCGAAGAGTTTTGCTTGTATTGCTCATGAGGAGGTATTATAGATTATTGAAATAGTTTTTGCGATATTTTCCATGTACATACTAACTCATAGTAATTATATTATGGTACATTGTAGGAAAATACATCCGGTTCTAAAGTTGGTCGAATCCAATTCTTCGACATGACACATACGAAGAAGGATGGCACTCCTATGACTGCTGACGTTGCAGAAATTATGGTACGTTTTTTGGGTAGATGTTTTAAATTTACCTGACTTTATTTATATTTGTAGAATGACATTTTTTATTTTAATTAATTATTCACTTTATTAGGAAAAATTGAGAGAGAAAAAGGCAGAGTATCATGTTACTGCTTCGAGTCAAGGTATTGTTAATGATGATGACATTGAAAACCAAGCTATTAATGACGTTTTGGGTCCTGAAAGATATGGTCGGGTGCGCTGTCAAGGATCATTCATTACTCCTACCAAATATTTTGGATCCAGTTCATCACAGTCTCGATCTTCCCACCAAGAAGTTTGTCGTTTAAAAGAAAAGTTGGCTGAGATGGATCAACAAATGGCTAACTTGAAAGCAGAAAATGAAGCAAGGGAAGCAGAGAGAGCAGCAGTAGAAGCAGCCAGAGCAGCAGCGGAAGCAGAGAAAGAAGCAGCGGCAGCACAGAGAGAAGCAGCATATCAGTAGAGATGTGAAGAATTTGAAAAACGACTCAATGATATGATGCTGATGATTCAGAAAACGCAACCTCATAATCCACCATCGTAGTCTCATTTACGTTATGAGCATTCTACTGAATCTTGTTTAACTGAACTTATATTACGTTAATGAAAACTTTTATTTATTATATTGGATTTGATGTTGTTTGTTATGGATATATAGTTTGATGTTATTATTGTTTTGTTTGTTGGATAATGGAACAGGTTGAAAAAACAGTTTTGGGGTAATCAAGCATAATTTGTAGGAATGTTAATTCTGTGTTATTTATCGGCGTTTATAACAAAAAAATGCCGCAATATACCATACATTTAGCGGCGTTTGCATCCTAGAAACGCCGCTATATATAGAAATTTACCAGCGTTTTTAGCAAAAACGCCGCAAAAAATCAATACCTATTGCGGCGTTTGTGAGAAAAACGTCGCAAAACATCAAAACCTACTGCGACGTTTGTGGAAAAAACGCCGCAAAACATCAACATCTACTGCGGAGTTTATGGAAAAACGCCGCATAACATCAACACCTACTGCGGCGTTTCTAAATATCATAACCTATTGCAGCGTTTATCTTAAAAACGCTGCTAAATATCAACACCTATTGCGGCGTTTGTGTGACAAACGCCGCTAAATATCAACACCTATTGTGGCGTTTGTGTGACAAACGCCGCTAAATATCAATACCTATTGCGGCGTTTTTTGTTTAAAAATGCCGCGAACTTTAGCGGCGTTATTTTTAACGGCGATTTTCGCGGCGTTTGTCTTAACGCCGCATGTTTTTTTATCGGCGCTTATAAACGCCGCTAAAGGTTAAAAAAAGGCCGCAAAAACCTATTTTGCTGTAGTGCAACGTGAACAGACTCTCTAGCATTCTCCAAGTGATGGGTCAAACCTGGTGGTCTTGGCAAGCCCGATCCCCCAAATCTAACCTCTTTGGCAGACTCATGCTCTAATGTCTCGGACCTTATTGCTCGGCCCGTGACACTATTATCTATGTTTATATTAGACATCCGATGCTTCCATCTTGACTCTTTTTGGAGGTTAAGTGCATAAGGAGAAAGTAGCTAGCCTAGCCTGAAGTTCCACCGTTCTTTATCCACTCATATATATATCTGTAATAAATTATCAAACTAAAAATAGCACAATTATACCATGCACAAGCAAACTAAAAGAAGCAATGGCATTTAAATGAGACACATTTTTCACTTCTGCAGTATCTGTTAGACGCATGCTAAAGTAATAGTATATATACTATAGAGGCCTTCCATTACTACAGACCAATAAGCTATATGCGAATAATTTGCCAAAAAGACACGATGATGTCACCCTCACACTTCATTGTCCCGCCTTCACCACCGCTAAACTTGCTCAAAAAGAAAAATACAAACATCAAGAGCATTTCTGAACTGAATTTCAGAAGTTTTCTTTCGGTCTCTGATGAGTTCCATTTGGCTGCTTGGTACTAATAAAGTTTGGCTAGGAAGGTGTCAGTCAACTCTACACTGATTTGGTGTTCTTGTTTTATTTGTACCTTTATTGGGCTAATTATGTGTGTGTAGAAGTATCAAGCATGAGATATCTATAACTGGTGCAAGCATTTATGTATACTTCAATGATTAAGATAACATTTACTATTGTGGAGTAGGTAAAATGATCATTTCTCCATGACAGAAGGGTTTAGAATTGGTACACAAAAAGTTATTTCAATCGTCTTAGTTTGGAAACAGTTGAGAAGTGCTGTAAGAGATGATCGAAGTAAAAGAGAATTACTTGAACTTTTTCTAGTTACCATGGTAGGTCCCAAGTGAAACTGAAACAAACCATATATATATATATATGAGACAAAAGTTTGACGTTCACTAGAGGGTATAGAGTACTCTCTCTATACTTACCCAATCCTCAACATAGATGCTTTCAATCAATTATTCTGTTGTTATCTGCCATGGAATGGGCGACTCTCTCCCTCCCTATCTGCCATTGACCGTTTGATAATCGCAGTACCCTAGACTGACAAAAGACAAACTCAGGGTTTGATGTTCCTCAACAGATAAGAAGAAGATAAATAATGGCAACGATCATGTCTCCAAAGATAAGGCTTTGAAATAGGGTATCATGTTGAAGCTAAACTTGTTGGTGGGACAGATTCGAAACTGGTTAGACGTCGATCTGTGTATTCAGCAAATAGAATTTAGACAGCTAAAGAAAGGAGCATAGCTAAGAACTAGGTAGGTTTCTCGACAAAATCAAAATTACATTCCTAAGGCCACCAACATGCTCCATTACTATTTCTTGACTAATTCTAAAGGTACTGATAAGGATATCGTTGTCTGGTTTTGTCCTCAACTACTCTACGTAATGGAACAGACAAAAACCCTAACCCATTAAGATTTTATCCCCCCAACCCCAACACTAATATTGTCACAAATCATCCTTTATTTAATTTACTGTTTTAAAGCTATGCCTTAGACGTTTCTTTTAAATTTACTGTGAAGTAAAGGGTTAGGGTTGAAGTGAGAAGAAGATCAAGGATCAGGTTCTGCAGGCTTCTGGTGCTTGATAGTAATTTGTACTGAGAGGGAAGTACAAAAAGGATGGAAAAAAATTGGAAGGACAAAACTAATCTAACTATCTACGTCAATAAAAGAAGTTGGAATCCAACGGTGGACATAAACAATCAAAAAGGAAGCGGAAACACGGAGCCGCTCATGCCCAGACTTTGGAAGAAATTCATATTCTCCCACCTCATAAAAATAAGGATACCCCTTAACCCAACCATGGTCAGATTAACTCAACCCTAAACTATCACGTTGATTAAAATACCCCTCCCCCCCTTCTCTTCATTCTCATGTGGTTTTTCAAGCTCACTCCTTTCGCCCACTTTCTTTACCTACTTGCTTGAAACCCAAGTAATCTCCGGTCAACAAAAGGAACAGCTTTTCCTTTTCTTTTCTTGTTGGTGAAGATCAGTTGAGGAAACATGAGCTGCAATGGTTGCCGAGTGCTCCGAAAAAGGTGCAAGGATACATGTGTGTTACGGTCAAGCTTATGTTGGATAGAGTCCCCCGAAGCCCAAGGCAACGCCACCTTATTTCTCGCCAAGTTCTTCGGCCGCAGTGACCTCCTTTCTCTTATCTCTTCCGTCCCTGAATCCCAACGCCCTGGTACTCTTTCTCTCTTTATTTTCTATTTACGTTATCGATTTTCTGTTTTGATTATTTTACGTATATTTGTTTTTTTTTTTGGGGATTTTTTATAGCTTTGTTTCAGTCTTTATTGTTCGAGGCGTGTGGTCGTACCGTGAATCCGGTGAACGGAGCTGTAGGGCTGTTATGCAGTGGGGACTGGCATATCTGCCAGGCGGCGGTGGATACGGTTTTTCAAGGCGGAGCGTTACGGCCAATTCCGGAGATCATAGCCGGAGTTTGGACGCCGAGTTGCAATAAGTCATCTGATCGTTTTAGTGGCAACAGCTCGTACCACTTCCAGAACCACTACGCTGAGTCGAAGCCTTTGATGAGGATGATGATGGACAATCAAACGGCTTCAACCGTGTCGGATCTAAGCCTCTCTTTGATGACAAAGTTCGGTGGAGGAAGACGTGGCGGAAGGCGCTACAAGGAAGAAAAGAAGAGAGCAAAAGCGATGCCGCTTTATTCGGAGGAATCGGAGATAACTATTTCCGAGAGCAACGAAAATGAAGGAAGCCAGAAGAGAAAGATTTTGAAACTCTTCGTCTGAGAACACTTTTGAGTTATAAAGCGAAGGAAAACGGTCTTTTTTTTTATAAGTGGGAGATCATGTAGTGAATAACGAAAAGAGAAGAGAAGAGAAGATAATAAAGAGAGTGTTTTTACACTTTTACTCCTTTTATTTAATACTCCATATAATCATTTTCTGAATTTTTTTTAAGGATATGAAAATGGTAAGCCGCTCATAACAATGACAGATTTATAAATAATTTTTTATAGTATATGTGCATACATTAAGAACATAAAATTTTTAAATTGAATGAGTAAAAATAAATTTTTAGGATGAGCATTGTCTGTAAAATAAATAACTAATCGAATAATACTCAGATCTTAGAGTAGACATGAAAAATTTCAGGATGAGTACCATCAATAAAATAAATAACTAGTTTCATAAAATTAAAATTTCAAGGTAGTCAAGTACCACCTTCACCAAGCTGAGGTCTGCCATTGAGGATAGGCTTGGACGTTTAACTTCCGTTGAGGGATAATTCAATAATTCACGTGGTTTAATAAAATGGACTATAGTTAGCGTTTGAGTTGGGATTTATCTAATTTTACTTGTAAGCATTCAGATATTTCGTGTTCATCAAGTCATGAGCAGAGTTAATGTTTGTTGGTTATGCATGACGTACTTTCCTAACATGGTTTTCACTTTGAAGCATAATGGGGTTGTTTTTAAAGTATAGATGGAAGGGGTACCATCTTTAAACCAAGATGTAGGCAAAAGCAGGGCCGAAGATGAAGTCAGCTGATTCCCGGGAGGACTCATTCCTCATGCAACGAAGAAAGAGAATCGTTTGATTGAGAGAGACATGAGGCGTGGTTTGTTACATATCAGTACTAGTATATCAGTAATAAAAAAAACAAAGAAAGGAGAAGGGGATATATTGTTTAAAGAGGGAAAAAGAATAGTGGGGTGGTGCCCCCCGCCCACTGCGCCACCCAAACTCCTCCATTGGAAGTGGGTTCCACGGCATAACCCATCTTTTCTTTTTCATTGATGGGAAAGGGACTACAAATATAATTAGCTATAAAAGCAACCATTATTCTTCCACAATCGTTTCGCCGCGTCTATTGCATATGCTGTGGATCACACAAATTCATCTTTCTTTCTTTATTGGAAATCTCCACTCATTTACACGTCACTAGAAAGCATTTCCTTTGTAAAATTGTTGCCCAGCGTTATCAACTATTGTTGGTTTTAATGGTTCAGACGTTTTCTTTCTTTTTTTCTTTTTGAGATAAAAGAGTGTTGATTTGATTGTATCTCTCTCTCAACCAAATCTAGGATGCGGATTATGTTTACTACTAGATTTTTTTTTCTTCTATATATTGATATTTTAAAATATTATTATTTAATATATTGATTAAAATTGTTATGAGAGAACCTATTTAAAATCCAAATAAATTAGAATGAAATGAAGATTAAAAGGATTAAATAGTGCAGATTCGTGCTGGGACTATGGCCTTGAGCAATTTCTGAAAATTATATTTGTTCTTTATCAGGCTTCAAGTATTATATTATGCTTTTTTAATCCTTCATTTACCAAAACAAAACCATTAAGGACGGTTGAAAGTGTATGTATTTTTCACTCTGTATACTAAATCAAATTCATTATATTAAAGCGAACAAATATAGAAACACAAGAACCTTAGATTAAAACTGGAAGCACCATTTACACATTAAATAAACCATAAACCCTTGGAACCATAAATTCAGGGCCTGGATATAAAAAGATCCCCGAGACTAAAATATGTAAATCATCCAAGCACTTTCATCCGTTAAAAACACTAAAAAATTAGTGTTAAAAAGGGTTTAATTGGGTGAAAACAGATGTTTTGAGGCACAAAGGGCTTAGATGATTATTTGATTGTAGTTCAAGAGCAGCCTTCTTATATTTAAGCCAAAATTCGGATTAGGAGGGAATGGTGGTTGATGCTATGTTAGTTATTAGAGGAAAGGCAATGACAATCACATGAGCTGTACAATTCCGTAGTCATGCTGGAAGGTAATTGATTTAGTTGTAAAATGTGTGTTCTGAGGCTACATTCTTTCACCTGCATGGCTGAAATTGTTGATACAAGTACTTGGCAATGCTCAAGTAAAGCAATCTCATTTCCACTTGCATTTCCAAGTTCTCCCACCAAGGACTTGACTTCAGCAACCTATCAACCAAAAAAATAAATAAAATTAGATAAAAGTATAAAATCACAAACTAAAATTGCTAAAAAAAAAAACCAAGGGAATATCCCATTGTCATTAAAGTGAAGCTTATAGTTTATCATTGTCATCCAAATTTAAATGGTAAGTTTCATTTTCATCCTTAACCTAAAGCAAGATGCATAACTAATCAACCTGTGCCATTTTTAATACTTGTAGAACTGCTTAAGAAAACAAGCCGCTAAAACTAACATCAAATCAATATGACCACCCTTTGAGGACAGTAAAGAATTTCATAGCAGCTACAGTCGTAACTTACGCAAACTCTAAGGTGCTTATGCTTATCAAATGATCAATCTTTCACACTGGAACATGAAAACTTCTCGACACATGGGTACATGCACTCTAAGGCGCTTACGCTTATAAAATGATCAATCTTTCACCTTGGAACATGAAAACTTCTCAACACATGGGTACATGCACTCTAAGGCACTTATGCTTGTAAAATGATCAAGCTTTTGTTGAAATTATTAAAATGGTTTTCAAGTTTGGTAACCAACTTTGAAAAAATGGTTTTCAAAGTTTGGTAAATGTTTCTTTGAAAATGGTTTTCAAAGTTTGGTAAATGTTTCTTTGAAAAATAGTTTTTCAAAGTTTGGTGAAAAATGATAATGGGATAATCACAATTAATCCCTAGGCTTTAAGGTATTTACAAGATTAAGTCCTTAAGTTTCAACTATAAATACTCTAGCTCATTTAGCTTCAAAACCATCCCAAAAATCATTTCTTTCTCCCAATACTAGAGAGCTTTCTTGTGAGTAGTGAGTGTTTTGTAAACACCTGTAATTTTTCTCTCTTAGTAAAAGATCTGCAGCAGTCCGGAGACGTAAGCACAATTGGCTGAACTCCGTTATCAATTTCGGGTATTATTTTTCTGCTTTTATTTTGTATTCTCACTAATCTGACTATAGGAAAATTACTTGTTACTTGGTTTATTTCCCAACAACTGGTATCAGAGATTTTGGTTGTGAATTTTGTCAATTTTTACGGGATTACTATTCGGGTTACTATTAACGTGAATAGTGAATTTTGTGAATAGTGAAATTCGGTCGGCGATACGAGTTTGTCGACGGATGTGTTCTAATACACGGCGGTTAGCAGAAATTGTCAGAAACGATCCAAACGAAGCCAGATTCGAGTGGGAGCGATGGTTGCAGACGAAGGGAATGTGAAAATTGAAAAGTTCGATGGTGCGAACTTTGGATTTTAGAAGATGCAAATTGAAGATTTTCTATACCAGAAAAATCTATATCAACCCCTCTCAGGAAAACAACCGGAGGGCATGAAGAATGAAGACTGGGCTGTTCTCGACAGACAAGCCCTCGGAGTTATCCGACTGACGTTATCTCGCAATGTTGCTTTCAACATAGCAAAGGAAAAGACCACGGCGGGTCTTATGACGGCTCTCTCCAGTATGTATGAGAAGCCATCGGCCTCAAACAAAGTTCATTTGATGAGGCGATTATGTAATTTGCGGATGACGGAAAGGGCATCGGTGGCACAACACCTAAATGAACTCAACACAATCACAACCCAGTTGAGTTCAGTGAATATTGAATTTGATGATGAAGTTCGAGCTTTAATTCTCTTATCATCTTTACCAGACAGTTAGAATGCTACTGTTACAGCAGTCAGCAGTTCGTCGGGAAACAACAAATTAAAATTCGACGATGTTCGGGATCTGGTACTGAGCGAAGAAATTCGACGGAGAGAATCGGGTGAAGCATCAACCTCCTCAGCCTTGCACACGGAGTCCAGAGGGAGAACTTCAGAAAGAAATTCAAATCGTGGCAGATCGAAATCCAGAAGGGGAAAATCAAGAACAGGAAATAAAGATTTTACCTGTTATAATTGCGGCAAGAAGGGTCACTTCAAAAGAGATTACCGAGCACCGAAGAAAAATACCGACGCACAGGAATCTGCCAACATGACGGAGGAGACAGGTGATGCTATGATTTTAAGCGTCAACAGTCCGATTGAATCATAGATTTTGGATTCAGGGGCATCTTTCCACTCCACGCCATGCCAAGAAATCATGAAGAACTATGTCAGTGGTGATTTTGGGAAGGTTCATCTTGCTGATGATGAAACCTTGAAGATCGTCGGAAAATGAGACATCCGATTAAAGCTGCCAAATCAGACCACCTGGAAGCTGACAGGAGTGAGACATATTCCTGGTCTCAAAAGAAATTTGATTTCTGTATGACAGCTTGATGGAAAAGGATACAGTACAACCTTTTCAGGATGTAACCTCAAATTTAGAGAATATCATTGCAGTAGCAGATGTTGATGGAAAATCAAACATATGACACCAAAGGCTTGGCCATATGAGCGAGAAAGGAATAAAGATACTTCTATCAAAAGGGAAGCTGTCGGATCTAAAGAATGTAGATGTCGGACTATGCAATGATTGCATCTTTGGCAAACAAAAGAAAGTCAGTTTTGCAAAGATTGGCAAGACACCCAAGGCAGAAAGGTTAGAATTGGTTCATACTGATGTATGGGGATCATCCCCAGTTTCATCTCTTGCAGGCTCACTATATTATGTCACCTTCATCGATGATTCAACAAGGAAGGTGTGGGTTTATTTTCTGAAGAAGAAATCAGAAGTCTTCGATACCTTCAGAAAATGGAAAGCCATGGTGGAAAATGAGACTGGTTTAAAAGTCAAGCGGTTGAGGTCTGACAATGGAAGAGAATACAGAGATAGTAGATTCAGAGATTTCTGCGCAAACAATGGGATCAAAATGGAGACAACAGTTTCCATAATACCGCAGCAGAATGGCGTAGCAGAGCGCATGAATAGAACTCTGAATGAAC